TCACTAGTGAAATATATCATTTAATATTAAAATCTCCAATATTTACGTGTATATATATAAGTGTCTACAAATAAATTAAAAGACTCTAGTTTCAAATAATGTTTTTGAAGATTGTTTTTTATTTTACATTTCCTATCACTTAAGTCATTCTTGTTTCTTAATTAAAATTTGTCACATTTTTTTTTAATAAAGTAACTCGCAGTCAACCATATAGATGCACTGGATAAACATACAATCTCGTATAATAGCTTGTAAACCATACGAGAGACATAAACCACGGCAGACTAACCATGTGTGAAAAAAATTACATTATTTTTTAAAAAATTGAAAAAAAAAAAAAAAAGGAAAGATAAAGAATCTTTTCAATAGCCACAATCAATCAATGCATGATGCATCTATTCTCATCCCCACAAGATTCACAATAGATTGAATCATTGAAACTTTGTCGTTCATTCATTATTTCATTCACTTGGCATGCATGAATTTGGATGCAAAAAATAAATAAATAATAATATAATTAAGATACCTAAATCTACGGCTTTCGAAGAGGACACCCAAACAGTCCCTATCAAATACAAAAGCATCTTTCACGTGATCACAAGTATATTCTTCATGGCATTTCTTCTCTCTCTCTAGCGCCCCACATATATATAAGGGCATTTTTGTCATTTCAGTAGATTGTGGTCTTTGTCATTAGTGATACGTGAAAGCTCTATTTTAGAATAAATCTATAAAGGAGAGGCTAAACTTATTTTAAATATCGATAAAATTATTTTAACGGCTCATAAGTTGATAGATGTTTTTTTTTCTAATATTTTATAATTAATAGCTATTTTTTAAATTTTCAAGATTTTTTAGATAAAAATTGCGAAACTTTTGAATAGTTTATGAGATCTTAATACACGGGACAATAAATAGTCAAATTAACTTAGATGGGACAATCATTAGTAGAAATTAAGAAAAAAGACGAAAAAGACTAAACTACCCTTCACCGAATGACGTAATTGCTCTTTAACATTTTCATGTTCTTGAAAAAAAAATTGAAAAAAATATCTTTACGTGGCCCAAGAACTAGAATCATTTGTTGGTTTGGGGTACACATTTTGGATGAATGATTGGCTTTTTCTTTCTTATGCATTTGATTCGTTCAAAGAATTGAACACTTGTTGGAGAAGCTTGTTTAGCTTTGATTTATATAAATGACTCTTTGGAATTAGGCATGCATCAATTTGTGCCACCTAATTCCATCATTGATATTTGGTGACCTAATTAGCTAGCTACATCAAAAAAAAAATAATAATAATAATAAAAGCTAATTTTGTTTAGGTTATCTATGGTGTACTAATGGAAGACTTCACTTATTTTTTTCCTGTACTATCAAAATCTTCACTTACCCGTGAATTAGATCTCGTATTTATATAGGGGGGTAAAATTAAAGATTTTAATAGTGGATGGGAGATAACTGAAATTTCTATTTAGTACAAGGGTTGTATGTGAAATCAACCCTATAAAAAAATTCATTAATTGTATTTAGATGGAAGAATTTAAGGGGAATTTCAAATCTATAATAACAAATTCATTAAATTTGTTTGTTTTGAGTCACTTCACGAGGAATTTAGAATGCATAGCTCTTGTTTTTAGTTATTTTTAAAGATATTTTGATTGTTTACGGATCAATTCGCAGTTGTAGTCATTTCAAATCCCATAAAATATTCCAAAGTCATTCATTTTGAATTCGCAATCCAAATGCAACCTTACGGAATTGAAGAAAAGAAAAGAAAAATTAGATTTGGCAACCCCAATCTGTCGAGGCAAACAACATTTATGTGTAAACACTAAGGTCTCGTTTGGTTACATAGATTAGTCATTGTTAACTAAATAATAGAATTTTATTTGATGTTCGGTACTTCTAGTAAATTTCTGTGTCGGCCCGCAAATATATCATGGTTTATCTTGCCTTTTAAGGAGTTTTTTTGTTAGACGTGTCAAAGTCCGATAAAATAATTGAATTTTCCTAAATTATTTAATTTTATCTTGTCTAATCTTATCTTGTCAACCAAACGAGGCCTACACATTTATAATATCGATTTATTTGAATGAATTAAACATTATATTTATTATATGAAAAGAAAATAAAAAAAATCAGTGGTCGATAGAGAAAGTAGTGTATGAGAAAAATTACTAGTGGTGCTTGGTTGATGAATGTGGGTCCCACATGAAATATTATAGTGTCGGCTTTAGAGTAGAGACGAGCCGCCGCGTATCCAACGGCGGTGCATCGTAGCATACTGAAAAATGATAATTGATGGGGCCCACCTTTCTACGTTCTTTCTTTCTTCCTTTGGGCCTTTTTCATTAACTGACTATATAAATTTTGGATTATCAAAAACTTAAAACCAAATCAAAACTCAAATCTGACAAGCCAATTTGGCCCATAAATACAATTTATATAAATATATTGAACAATAAAATATCGATAAATTAATAACTTCGCTTAAATAATAATTAGTTTTGGTACCGATATGGTGAAAATGCGCTAAATTATTAGTTCGATAATTTAATATTTCACTAAACTTTGTCAGTCTCAACTGTATTAATTCATAAAGGTTTAACTGTATGTATTAATAAAAATAAATGAATCTAGTCGAGTTGCAGGGCTCAAGATAATTTTTTTAATTTTTATTTTTAAAATAAAGTTTTTTTATTTATAATTAATATTTTATATTATAGTAAAAGATTTAAAAAATACAAAACGGATTGATTTTAATTAGGGGTGCAAGTTGGAACAGAATTTCTGAATTCCGCCGGTTCCGATCCGAAAAATTCCGATTTTGGAACAACTTTTTTCATTCCGACTTCCGAAAATCCGATTTCCGAATTTTTCCGCTTTTTTTGGATTCGAATTGGAATTGTATAAAATAAATTTGGAATTTCCGATTTCCAATCCGATTTAATTCCGAAATTAATTCCGAAAAATTCCGATTTTTTTCCCAAAAATATACCTATAAATTACATATCTTATATAATACTTGTTTTCCGAAAAATAGACATATAAGTTTTGTTTTAGGATTTTGACATAATGAATTGTTGTTAGAAGTTTTATTGGATATTATGCTATGTTTATTTTTATTTATTTTTTTGAATTGAAATTTAGTAGTTATTAGTTTACTTTTATTGACGGGAATGTTCTTATTTTTGAAAAATTATGAACGTTGCAGTAAATTTAGGCTAAGTTTTGAAATTTTAAAGCGTATTTGATTTCCGATTTTTTTCCGAAATTCCGAAATTTCGGGCCTTTTGGAATTGTAATGAATTTTTAGATTCCGAAAATTTTGGAATTGGAATTGGAATTGATTTTATACTTCCGAATTTTTTTGGAAATTTTCCGAAAAGGCTAATTCCGATCCGATCCATCCGACTTTCACCCCTAATTTTAATTTTTATTTAGGGTAAATTACATCTACATCCTTGAGATATGCTAAAATAAATTTAAGGTCCCTATGATATTGGTAATTACAACCACACCTCTGAAACAATTACGAGCCAAGATTTCATGTCCTTGAGACCAATATGCTCTATATTTGTTTTCAGCAGGGCCGTTAATGCTACCATAGACGAAATTTTATAAATCTTATATAAAATAATAATGAATTAAGAAATGTTGGAGAGCCTTGTCACCCCCCTAGTTCTATGTTGTTTCCACCACTACCTGAAACTAATAGTCCGTTATAATCGTAACAGAATAACTTATCCAATGCATTATTATGTTAGAGCTTCTAACAATGTTTCAGAGGGCCATTATAATTACCGATATCACAGGGACCTTAAAATCATTTTAGCCTATCTCAGGGGTTTGGGAATAATTTACCTTTTATTTACTATTTGGTCCCTAAACTACTTATAATTGGACCAAAGACAACCAAGCAAAAGGCTCACGCCACCCATCATTTTGAGCACCTTTCTTGCATTGTGGCCATCATGCTTTGTTTGCCACAAGAAATAAATTACCACATGCAATCAAACTTTCTTTTTGGGTCCTTTAATTTTCCACCTATATGTTATTAGGCAATCAAAGAAAAATAATAAAGCCTTTTATTTATTTAATTATTTATTTATATGTGGATCCATTAGACTTATTGACGTGGCATTGATGGGTTATTTTAGGAGAAATTTGATAAAAAGTTACCAAATTAATTTTATTAACAATAAGAGCAATATGTAAAAAAAATTCTCGGTTAAAGTACGTCACTAGTTCATTTTATAAAAGTATCTCCGTATTTTACTAACTAAAAATTCATGAGAACAATGTGTCTTTGAACGATACGTGGCACGCTATGGACCATAAATTTAGTTAGTATCGAAATTCACTGTCAATTTTAGAAGTTCACTGCAAATTTTTCGGAATGCATTACCAATTTTCATAAGTTCAATTTCGTATTTTTCAATTAAAATAGGATCTCAAATTTCTAATATGCATTCTAATTCCGTTCCGATAAATAAGTTGGAATAACATGAACCAAAACTTTCAAAATTTGAAATGATAAAATGTTGTTAAAAAATCACAAATATTCGAATCGGAATTTGTGTAATTCGAAAATTCCGTTTCATCCCTATTAATTTGTAATAAAACCAGTAATTCGCTTTAATCAAATCCAATTAAATCTATTATTATTATTATTATTATTATTATTATTATTATTATTATTATTATTATTATTATTATTATTATTATTATTATTATTATTATTATTATTATTATTATTATTATTAAAAAAATAAAATAAAATGTTTATTTGGGCCCTAACTGGACCCTGAGAAATAAGCCCACATAAATACTTCACAACTTAACTTATGGTTTAATAGTTGTTTTATATTAGTACTTTCTTGTCTTATAATGAAGTATTGGGCCTCGTTGTAAACATTTAATCATCACTAATTCATAAAAAAAAAAAAAAAAAAAGAAGTTAAAAGATTAATATTAAAAAAAAATTAAAAATATTATAGTTCATCTGCAATTCATAAATATTTAAAATCCAGTAAAATTCAAAATTAGCGTACATCTTCCGAAACGAAAACAATTATATATAGTCTGAGATAATGATTAGGAGTTTCTTAAGATTTTAATCAAACGTTAATCAAAAAATTCAAGATTAAGTACTAAGTTAAACCTAATCATATATTTATCCTAAGAAAATAAAAATTTCAAATCGACGCAGTTTCTTAAACCTCGAATCATCACCGGAATTCCTCCTCCTCCTCCGCCTACCACCACCGCAAACATTCGTCGCCGCCTGCCGTCGACATCGCCACCCCTCGCTCCCCGAATCAAATTGCCCTAATTTATTTTTTCATTATTGCAAAAGAATAAACCCTAGATTGAGAAGAACGTGTTAAATTACCCAATTAGGATTTTTTAGGTCATGGCGAAAGAAATCGCAGAATCAAATTCTGTCGCTAATTTAGGTATTCCTTTCTTTTCTGCATATTTTTTGAAGTTTTTTCTCTTGTTAATTTTTGATTTTTATTTTATTTTTTATTTTTTTATTTTCAATTCATGAAAATAATATATTTAAAAAAAAATTCCAGATCAGCAAGATGGGAATGCCGACAAGTTCAATGTAGAAGCTGCAGAAATTCTTGCTAATGAAGCATTGGTAATATTGATACTAATTTACTCTATTTTTTTTTATTCAGGATTTGTTTTTGAGTTTGTATATGTAACTTATGATTTTTTTTTTATTTTTTTTTAATTTTTTTGAATTCAGCGATTGCCAATATCAGATGCAGTGCCAATATACGAACAACTTCTCGCCACGTACCCCACTTCGGTAAACCCTCTTTTACTCGACTTGGACTTTTAGCATTATTGTCTCCTGGTTTATCTATTGAATTTTTCGTCTGAATTTGGTGCATTTAAGCTTACAAATGTGACGAAAACTCGTGGTTTCGTCTGAGAAAAAAATTTGATTTATTGCTTGCTAAATGAAGAGGTTTAGTGACTTTTACGCGTTTAATTTTTATGAAAAACAAGATTTTAAATTAGAGCTACTCAAATGAAGGATCGCCATTGTTAGTATTCAAGGCATTTACATAAATTCATTTTTTCGAGATTCCATTGAGTTGTCGTAAATTCATGGTCTTATATTATTATTTATTATCTCTACCTCCGATTTGTATTATTAGTTCAGCTGATGAATAATGTATATTTATGATAATTTATATTTCTTGTGTTAGGCGAAATATTGGAAGCAGTATGTTGAAGCACACATGGCTGTAAACAACGACGAAGCAGCAAGACAAGTATTTAGCCGTTGTCTTTTGAATTGCTTGCAAGTCCCTCTTTGGTAAATTACCTACACTTAGCTCAAGTCTTTTTTTCACTTGTCTTTTCTTCAATTATTTTATTTTTATTTAATCTTATTGTCCAAATTCCAGGCGCTGCTACATCCGCTTCATAAGAAAATTTAACGACAAGAAGGGAATCGAGGGTCAGGAAGAGACTAAGAAAGCTTTCGAATTTATGCTTAATTATGTCGGTGAGTTACTAATATATTACTATTACATGATTTGGTATTGATTCTGACGAACTGAAATAAAATTGTAACGAATATGACAGGACTGATTGGTATTAATAAAATTGTTTTTTATTAAATATTATATAATTGCAATTACAATTTTGACTAACTTAATTCAAAAAATAAAACAAAACTGATAAATGACAGGAGCTGATATAGCATCTGGCCCTGTGTGGATGGAGTACATTGCATATTTAAGATCCTTACCGGTTCGTTTTCTATAACCCTTTTCACATACAGTGTACTCTGTTTTTTTTTTCAGTTTTTTTTTTCATTATTATTATGTTATTTAATGTGGTTATAAAAAAATTGGAACAGGCACAAACGACAGTAGAAGAGTCACAAAGGATGACTGCAATACGTAAGACGTACCAACGTGCCATTGTGATGCCTATTCATCACGTCGAACAGCTTTGGAGGGACTATGAAAATTTCGAGAATACAGTTAGCCGTGCACTGGTACTATTTTTTCTTCTAATTTTCTTTTTAAAATTTGTACATTTTTACGGACCATTTTCAAAATATTATTTAGGATAATATTTTCCGTAATTTTTTTCACCGTAAAGATAATCTATTAAATTTAATGCATTCTAGGCAAAAGGGTTGGTGGCTGAATATCAGCCAAAATATAACAGCGCAAGGGCTGTTTATCGAGAGCGTAAGAAGTATGTTGATGAAATTGATTGGAATATGCTTGCGGTCCCACCTTCCGGTTCTTCGAAGGTACTTTAACGGTGTTACCATTAATTAATATTCAATTTTTAGTTTCTTCGATGCTTAAATTTGATTACTTGGCTGTCATTATTTTTATAAATTATTATATCTGTTACAATGTGGTATTGTTATGTAGGAGGAAGTGCAATGGATGGCGTGGAAAAAGTTGTTAAACTTCGAAAAGTAAGTATCTTCCATAACAGTGATGTTTATTTCTGTTTATTAAAAAAAGGGTAAATTACGGCCACCCCCTGAGGTAAGGTCAAATTACGAAAATACCCCTCTTGTTTGGATTTTTTCGTACTTTATCCAAAAAAAAAAAAAACCGTGTAGTCTTGATAGTTCAAACTAATACTTTGAGCCGTATCACGTGTGCTTTTCTTCACTTATTTTGCGAAGCTTTTATTGGTTTCTAAGAATATTTGTTGTCATGAAAACATAGTTTAAACCCAATTGCTTAACTAACTATTATGTCGACTTTTTTCAGAGGCAATCCCCAGAGAACTGATAATGCTTCTGCGGTCAAACGGATTGCATTTGCCTATGAACAGGTACTAAAGGCATAGAATATTAAACAAAAATGCGTACGCGTATCTTTCGTTTTATTTTATTTTTTTGCATATTTACCACCCTGAAAAATGATAATTTTACAACAAGACGATCAGAAAGGAGAAACGGCTTACATGTTCCTCTTTTTTTTGTAGTGCCTCATGTATTTATATCATTATCCTGATATGTGGTACGACTATGCCACATGGCATGCAAAGAATGGTTCTAAAGACTCGGCGATCAAAGTTTTCCAGCGTGCATTGAAGGCGCTTCCTGGTATTTAATATTTACCTATTGTTGATTTTCTTAATATCAGTCTCGGGTAAAATTCATTGTGTGATTTTTTAATTATATTCATGCTCTCGTATCAGACTCGGAACTGCTAAATTATGCATATGCTGAGCTGGAAGAATCTCACGGAGCAGCCCAGGTATAACTTTTGAAACGAAATTAGTCTTTATTTGGTAAGTGATTTTATTTATTTAATTTGACAGTGTGTTTTGGTGCAGGCTGCGAAAAAAGTTTATGAAAATTTTCTTGGAGACGGTGTGAATGCAACATCTCTGTCACACATCCAGGTATGCGGAATTTATACATCATCGACTAATGATTTAATATATATCAATGTTATTATTATTTTTTTTCACTTGTGTAACATTTTATGATGTTTGAATTTGTAGTTTATGCGTTTTTTAAGAAGGACCGAAGGAGTAGAAGCAGCTCGTAAATACTTTTTGGATGCTCGTAAATCTCCAAACTGCACTTACCATGTTTATGTTGCATATGCAATGATGGCTTTTTGTCTGGACAAAGATGCAAAGGTGACTAATTAATTATTTGAATATTTTTCGATTACGTTTCTGCTGTTAAACTTAAATATTTTCCAGTTTCTTGGAAACGATTGATATTCGTTTTCGTACGAAAGAAAATAATGTGGGGTTTATGTTACACTAAACGGCATATAGCTTTCGCTAAACCGACATATTTTACACTTTTGCAGCTTGCACACAATATATTTGAAGCGGGTTTAAAACGTTTTATGCACGAGCCTAGCTATATTCTAGAGTAAGTTCCTTTTTCCATCAACACCCCCCCCCCCCCCCCGCGATTAATATAGGCCACCTCATTGTTGGGGGTAGTATAATTTGCAAATTATATATGAGATTTATTCTGAATGAAAGTCACATTCTTATATTTCAGATATGCTGATTTCTTGTGCCGATTGAATGACGATAGAAATGTACGTGCTTTGTTTGAACGAGCACTAAGCTCCCTTCCACCCAATGAATCTGTTGAGGTATATCAAATTTTTTTATTTAGGTACTTTGCATGTCCTTTGATTTTTTCAGTTGTTTCAAATATAACTTCCAAACACCATATTGGAATACCTGAAAAATGATGCGATGATCGAGATAAAATTTGTTAATCAAGATAAAAGGCTTTTCAAAAAATCGAGACGCTCAAGTTAACCAAAAAAACTTGACAATGCCTTAAATTTAATTGTAGAAAGAAACTATGTCGTGATGGAGTAAAGATTATAAAAATAACCGATGTAATCGTGTGAAATAATTTGCAGAACTCATCCAAATATTCCATTTTTTTTCTTCGTACTCGTCATTTACGTTTCACCTTCTAAATACCAACTTTTGGTGAGAAATACAAAGTCATAATTGTTTGTACTAGATATTAAATCAAGTTCTTCACTTTGTTTGTAGGTATGGAATAGATTTGTCAAATTTGAGCAGACCTATGGAGATCTTGCCAGCATGCTAAAGGTATTTTCCAATCAATCGTAGTATACCTTACTATGTATGTATGAAATAAAAAAACTGAAAATAACCTTATTTTATATTTACATATAAAAATATTAATAATGGTGTGATAGGTAGAGCAAAGGAGAAAAGAAGCTTTATCTCGAACGGTTGATAATGGAGAATCGACTTTAGAGAATTCTCTGCAAGAAGTTGTCTCACGATATAATTTTATGGATCTTTGGCCTTGTTCTTCTAAAGAATTGGATCATTTATCTCGACAAGAGGTACTTATTTCATTATTAATTTTCTATATTTTATTTATTTAAAATAAAAGGAATTGGGACAATTTTCTGATTTAATATTCATAATTACCCGTTGTGCTTTTTAGTGGCTCTCGAAAAATCTCGACAAGAAGACTGAAAATCCTCCACATGCTAATGGAGCTACTAATCCTTCAGGTAAAATAAAAGTGATTTAATTTAATTCTTGTTTTGTGGGTCCCGTTCTTTATTCCATTGTACATGATCGTGGTTTGTGAATGCAGATAGGGGTGTTTTAGGTATTCCAAACAAGTCAAATGTACCTGGCAAGATTGTTTATCCAGATGTATCGAGAATGGCGACTTACGCTCCGAGTCAAAAGCCTGGTATATTATACGTAATTTTTATTATTTTATTTGGTTTTCCTACCAATTATAGATACTTTACTATGGTACAATGCCTCAGAAGTGATTTTTTCTTTTAAAAAGAATAAATAAAAATAATTTTATCATTTTTTAAGACTTAAAAAGTAGCAAGGATAATATTTGTAATAAAAATATGGCACTTTTGCAGGTCATTCTGCACCTGCACTTTCCGATGTTTCAAATACAACGCAAAATGGTTCAACCATAAATAATGGAGTAACGACGACTGCAACCAATGATATTTTGAAAAATTTGCCACCATCTTTGGCTATGTTTGTGGCGACTTTGCCACCTGTCGAAGGTATCTTTCATGAACTTTTGTTTTGTTTATTATAATTATTGTTATAAAAGTCCTCGTGTTATTAATGATGGCAAAAATCCCCCCATAATGCAACCTTTTTAGCAAACTAACACCTAAATTGTAAAACCTCACCATTTAGGGGGTTGTGTTAAGAAAATGCATTATATATGGGGTTTTTGCTAATACTAATAACATGGGGACTTTTTTAGCAATTTGATATAACATAGGGGTGGGTGCTAAATGAAATAAACTCTTATTATTATTGTTAATTTGTTATTGAGCTATCTTACGTAATACGTTAATCAATTTTTCATTCTTAATTTCTTTTAGGTCCTTCTCCGGATGTTGATGTTGTGATATCCATATGTTTGCAAAGCAACTTAATGCCAGCTGGCGGGAAAATTGGAACACCTCAGCAGTTACAAACGGGGCCCGCTCCAAGCACCAGCGACGTATCCGGTTCGAGCAAATTCAAACAAACGAGAGACAGAAAAAGAAAACAGAGTATGTTACTATTATTATTCACTTCTTTTAGATTCCTATTATTCATATTGTTACATAAATGTATGCTCTCTCCGTCCCATAATATCTGTCCTTCAAGTTTTTTACACATCATGTTAAGAAAATTATTAAATATAGTCGATTTTTTGTAAAAAACACATTAAAAAGACTAAAATAACCTTTATTATTTAAAAACCTCTAAAGCAACAAGATAATTGAAAAGTTTCTAAAGCAACACGATAATATGAAACGGGTAGAGTGTATGTAATCGAAGAATGGATTTAATGATAATATTGATTATATCCAATTAATTTATTTTCGTGATTCTTAGGACAAGATGAAGACGAGACATCTACTGTACAAAGTCAACCAGGACCAAGAGATGCATTCAAGATGAGACAATTACAGAAAGCTCAAAATGCAAACAGTAGTTCAAGAACAGGCGGTTCTGCTTCGTATGGCAGTGGATTTTCGGGCGATCGCTCTGTTAGCTCTGGTTAATGATCGATTTTTTTGTATTTTCTGTTTACAGAAATTAATGTTGTTTGTAAATTAATTTTTGGAGGTTTCATAATTGTAAAATAGTTGTTTAAAATAATCTCAGGTCTTCGAAGATAGATCAGCTTCTATTTTTTAGGTGTAGTTTGTAATATACATTTTTTAAATTAATGAGAATGAAGTATTCTATTTAGACTATTGTGTTGCACTTCCGTATTGAATATATATATATATATATATATATATATATATATATATATATATATATATATATATATATATATATATATATATATAAATTTCTGTAAATAAACCAATCAACCAACTATCAAACTTCAAACATAATTTTTCCAATAAACATATTTTTTCTAATAGGAAGAAAGGGCAAAATCGTCACTGTGCCCACACATGGTCACGATTTCACCGAAATCACTCTGTGCACGAAAATATTGCAAACGTTATTCCATGCACAAAGAACGGGCGTTGAATATAATCAGGCACACAGGATTTTTAGAACATAATCACATATTACATTGTCCTGGAAAATTCAATCCCAACGAATTCAATTATCAATCCCGTCAACATTCCCAAACGACTCATGCATATAGTTCTCCACTTAAATCATTACCAATTATTTTCCTAAATGCAATAAACTTGGATTCTTTTCATAGAATAACAGTTTCACAGTATCTCAAAAAACTCACTTTCATTACCTATGCAAGGATTTAATCATTAATCAGGCCACATTTGCTTCTGAGTTGTCGGTCTTCGAATCGGTCTGGTTATGTTCCGATGTCTTTTGGGGCTTTCGGTACCACAAAAACATGAACCATAAAGTCCTTAATATGGCTCCATTTGCAAAATGCGGAATTAAAATACGACCCCAATAAGGGTAATAAGGTCCAGGGAATTTGAGCAATGCGAAAAATATCAAAACCGAAATCAGATGCCACGGGACTTCTGCATTCTGCAATTTAAAAGAAAACAAATTGATCCTGATATTAATAAATAATACCATACCAATTTTTTGGTCGCACATAATACAGATACATGATAATATAATTGACATTATAAGTTCATTTTTTGGAAAAAAATCGGGAAAATTAAAATTGGACCTGAAATCAGAATCTCATTTATATATTCCAATTCCATTCAAAAAAGAATATCAGAAATTTCAAAATTCCTAATGAAAAATATTGTCCAAAATCGCTAATTTTCAGATCATAATTGGCGGGATTCGGAATTTCAGTTCCATTCCCACCCCTAGTATACCATACGCAAGAATCAATACGCATACAACCACTTATATGCATTATCTCTATAAAAAACCATAAATCAAAGGCAGATTCCAAATTCCATATTAATCGTAAATAAGAGGTTGAGAAAGAAAAGACCTTGAGATACGGCGAAGATTCCAAAGCAGCATTTCTTAAAACCCCAGCAACACCAACTCCAACCAGAAACGGAAGCGGTATGAGGTAAAGCTTCCTCTCGTGTGCACAATACGACATTTCACTAACAGATGTAACCGCAAATACAGGTAAGGATAGGTATTTGACAACATTTAAGACAAGGTCTAAAATTAGTTGGATAAAATTGTCCAATGTCTTGTTCCAAGGGAAGCTCTTGACTGGCTCAGGAGAACTCTCCCACAAACTTCTTGCCTTGTCAGCAACATAACCGATGCTTAGTTTACTAGGATCGTTTGGCTGGTCAGCAGAAATGTTCATACTGCAAAGGGCTTTCTGGGAATTTCGAGATAGTCGATTTACTTTGAAGTTCAATATGCAGCTTTGAGTTCTTTGGCGTAATGGAAGGTTCTTCAGAAGAAAAGGGGACTTTTAAATAACGCGAAGAATATATTTCGGAGCACAAAATTTGCTCGTCACATTAAAGAAACTACTCAAAGGAAAATGAAGAGTTTGTTTATACAAAGATAAACGAGAAAACCACTTTTCAAGATGATTTAGGTTTCTTTGTCAAATCGAATTCTCGTTTAAAAAAAACATTATATCGTATTTACTAACAATACAAGTTAACCAGCATTTTATGGATGCAATAAATGCCTACATGTTCTTGAAAATATGAAAATGCATTGCATAAGCTGACTCTGCTTTCTACTTCAGCTCAAAATTCCGAAAACATGTTTGATTTTTTTATTTTTATTTTTTCGTTCCTTCGACCTTGGGGCAAAAATTGGGGGATATACTTAACCTAATTCATCAATTACATCCGGAAATTCCCCAATCCCATTTCCAACTCACTATATGAATATTACTCCGACAACATTGCGAAAAAATCGAAAAAAAACATGTAAAAATTTCTCGAATTTACAGTTTAATCGATCTCCAACAAAACTAGTTCGCAGCAACCAATTTACATGTTCTGCACAGAAAATGTAAGGAAAGCAAAATGTAGAGTGATAACCTGGAGCGAGTAAACAGCCGATGCACTGAGCTTGAGCGCCATTTTTTCTGCGGCGGAATAACAGAACACTGAGAAATTGTATCCGAATCGGTGAAGTAATCAAACAGTACGATGGAGAAATTCCATGGCGATTTTGAATACAATTTCAGAACTCTTTCTTCTCTTCTCTTCGTAGAGAAAACGAAAACCCTTGGGTTATTTTTGTTTCAGGGGTTTTGGATGAGGCATTTATTTATTTTATTTTATTTTAGGGTAAATTACAAACACCCCCCTGAGGTATGGTCAAATTACAAAAACACCCCTCTTGTTTCGATAATTACAACCACCCCCTCAACTCCTCAAATTTAGTGGAATCTTCGAGAGTATATGGAATATTATCACCTTTGTACTCATTTTATCCCATTCGAACTCTACATTATGAAGCAAGATGATCATAATATGTGATTTTTAGCTTGTATATATCAGTTTTTGGTGCATCAGAAACTGTATTTTTACACAAAACGAGTACAAACTAGAGCACATTTCACGTAATCTAGATGATTATGTTGAATTTGACACCATAAGGGTGGAGCTGTAAGAAAAAATCATAGTTGAGGGGGGTAGATGTAATTATCCAAACAAGAGGGGGATTTTTGTAATTTGACCATACCTCAGGGGGGTGTTTGTAATTTACCCTTTATTTTATTTATTTAATTTAATTAGTCCGGTGTGGAAAATTAATTAAGAAAAATAAATGAAAATGAAGGGTCCGACCCTTGACCCGCCTGTTTGGATCCATGACCCGCCGGATTTGGATCCATGGGCCTGCCTAATTGTTAAATAAGGAATGGGCCTGTTAATAGAATGTAGATAAAATATAGGGTAAATTACAACTATATCCCTGAGGTAAAGTGTAATTACAAATAAAACCCCTTCTTTTTGAGAAATTACATCCAGCCATTTGCAGTTTGTAAATTTCTTACATCCACCCCTACAAAAGGGTGTTCATGTAAGAAATTTATAAATTGCAGGGGGTGAATGTAATTATAAAAAACGAGGGAGGGGTTTTGTTGTAAATAGACCTTGTCACAGGGGTTGCTTGTAATTTTTTAATCTAAAATATATAGTGAAATGCATCACTTGTTTTAGTAAACATAGTTCAATTGTTAAAAATATATATATATATAATTATGTATTGATAGGTAAGTAGTTGGATAAGAACATTAGCTTTTGTTTGAATTTTTTTTAAAAGTGATTATGATTTTAGTTTTAATTAATGTATTTCTTTAGTGTTAACTGACATTTTATTTTTTGTTTTTGCTTCTCTCAAAATAAATTAATTTAAAATTTTTAAAGAATCTCGGCAAAAATGTTTTAGAAATTAAAATTGCGTTGGAAATTTGTGTCATTCGTGTTCTTATTAAAATATACTCCGTCCGTTCCTAAATAAGTGTTGTTTGTCACCTTTGCACGAGTCTTGAGCATTTCAATAAATGTGTCTTGATTTAAAAAAAATAAATGTTGTTATACCAAAATACCCTTTGTTTATTATTAATGTAGGAAGAATGTTGAAAAGTTAATAAGGGCATAATAGAAAAATATGTAATTAATATTATATTGGAATTATAAAGTAGCAGATAGTATGAAAAGAAAAATTCTTTACAGTGATAGATAGGGGTGAAAGTCGGATGGATCGGATCGGAATTAGCCTTTTCGGAAAATTTCCAAAAAATTTCGGAAGTACAAAATCAATTCCAATTCCAATTCCAAAATTTTCGGAATCTAAAAATTCATTCCAATTCCAAAAGGCCCGGAAATTTCGGAATTTCGGAAAAAAATCGGAAATCACATAAGCTTTAAAATTTCAAAACTTAGCCGAAATTTTCTAAAATGTTCATAATTTTTCGAAAATAAGAGCATCCACGTCGATAAAAGTAAAACTAATAACTACTAAATTTCAGTTCAAAAAAATAAATAAAAATAAACACATCATAATATCCAATAAAACTTCTAACAACAATTCATTATGTCAAAATCCTAAAACAAAACTTTTAGGTGCATTTTTCGGAAAATAAGTATTGTATAATATATACTATTTATAGGTGTACTTTCGGAAAAAAATCGGAATTTTTCGAATTAATTTCGGAATTAAATCGGATCGGAAATCGGAAATTCCAATTTATTTTATATAATTCCAATTCCAATCCAAAAAAATCGGAAAAATTCGGAAATCAGAATGTCGGAAGTCGGAATGAAAAAAGTTGTTCCAAAATCGGAATTTTTCGGATCGGAATCGGCGGAAATTGGAAAATCCGTTCCAACTTGCACCCCTAGTGATAGATATCGTTGAATGGAGAGAATAGTTTATAAAGATATTTGACATATTTTACAATAAGCTATTTTTTTCTTTTTAATTTTATTATGCAAATACATCGATCTACTAAATTGACCGCTTAAAATCAAAATTTGAGGACATTTGCAAATATTCTTAATTTTTAAAAAATAAATAATTATTTCGAACTTTACTCACAATCAATGATTACTGCGAAAATATCTAAAATCTTAAGTAGTTGATCCAAATTAGTGACCATCTTATTATAATCTGGCAATGAATATGTACACAACTAAGGCAATATACATATATTAATATAAAATTAATTAAAGCAGAAAAGGTCATTTGTTACATGGGACCCAATTATGCATGATTGGTTTCATATTTTCAATTCAATAAAATAATGAGACCAATGGATAAGGTATATGCACTTTTATAGACCCTTTTCTCTTTCTTTTAATCTTCAATTTATTTATTTTTTCTTTTCTCTAATTGTCAAAACAATCACGAATAAATTAATTGTCTTTCGGTTCGGGGGGTTTATTATAAACTTGACATCGTAAGAGTGGACATGTAATATAATACATAACTGATGTGTGAATATAATTAATTATCTAAACATGAGGAATTTTTTCGTAATTTGACATTACCTTAGAGGCGACCGTAATGAATTTGCCCGAACAAAAATAATGAAATATTTTATACATTAAATTATTCAATTTTGACTCATATTATCGATCAGATTAGATCAGACCTCGTTCGAACCTCGATTCAATTGCTAATCGAACCATGGTGAAACACTAGGTTCTAGATGTCACTTATTGTCCTTTCTCAATAATGACCAATATATCACTTTCAATATATGAGAAAACTAAGTCGACTTTTCCAATAAAACAATAGCCATAAATAAGCCATGAGCCATATTGAGTCACACCTTATCTTTGTTAGTCCCCCAATCATGTAATATTTACCATCCAACCTCAATTATTTGTAGTTGGCATATATTATATAGAGTAAATTACACATACATCCCTAAAGTATGCTAAAATAACTTTAATGTCCCTGCAGCATTGGTAATTACAACCACACCCCTGAAATAATTACCGGAGCCAAGATTTCATGTTCTGACGACCGATATGCACTATATTTGTTTTCCGCGGGGCCACTAATGCTAACATAAACGAAAAATTATAAATCTTATATAAAATAATAAGAATTTAAGAAATGTTAGGAGATCCATGTCACCCCCTACCTTTATGTCGTCTTCACCACTGCCTGAAACTAATAGTCCGTTATAATCTTAACGGAATAACTTACTCGATGCATTATTCTGTCAGGGTTTCTAACAATGTTTTAGGGGTGTGATTGTAATTACCGATGCTATAAGGACCTTAAAGTTATTTTAGTATATCTGAGGGGTGTAGGTGTAATTTACCCTATTATATGTGTATATGTATGTATCATGTGGCTTTTACGTGTATATTAATATATCTTTTTTTTTTTTTTTTTTGGAATTTTGGGTGGAGGGTCTTATCTTATCATTAATTATATATTGTCCCTTGGGAGAAGAAAAGGTCATATTTAATTGAGCCACTTCTTCTTCATGAAAACCCTATATATATACACACAGAAACACCATTTATATAGAGAGAGAAAATAAAGTAAATAAATACGCAAAGAACATACAGAAGAGATTAATAAAAAAAAATTATTTATTTGAAAAAAATAAATATATAGAAATATGCAGAAGCTGGAAATGTGTATAGAGGTGTTGAAGTTTGCGATCGAGTTCGTGATTGTTTTTGTTGAAGCGGTTGGATCTGTTATTAATCAACCCAGTGATTCTTCTTCACTGTCTACGGTTCCTAATCATACAGTTCCTTACATCGGCCTTCTTCCTTAAATATATATTTGTTTATTTTTTTTATTTTTTAATACGAGGAGAAAATCATATGTATACTCTTTTCTGGTGAAGTAGACAAAGTTTTGTTAGAGAAGAGTTTTTCTGATTTGATTTAATACAGAGAGTTTTTTTGTAACTGATTCTGATTTGTAATAATTAGTTTCTCAGTTAATAAATATTGAAGAAAGAATTTATTTATTTTATTTTATTTTTCATGAAATTAAGTTTGGTTTCTGGTGAATTATTTGATTTTTTTTCTTATGGAATTATTTGATTGGTTACTGCAAAAATTATGCAGTCTATATAAACAAAAGCATCAAAGGAAGAAGGGAAACTCATAATTGAGTAATTTAATTAATAAAATAAAAGTAATTATCACATTATGATATAATTAAGTAATTTAACCACCTCTTTTTATTTTTGCCTCTTGATTTTGGTAAATTCTCGAGTTGGAGAGTTGACCAGAAACCCGATTACGATTCACATACATAAAATTGTGTGACGTGTCGCATAAAGTGTCGTGTATTATTGGCTCGATGATTACCCTCTAACGTTTAAATTAAATCACATATTGCAAGTACAAATTGAATTTTTTTTAGTAGAAGTTGTAAAATGATGAGAATGGAGTTTTTTTTTTCCTTCAACCTAACTTGAAATTAGGGCTAACTACAATTTATTAAATATTAAAAGAAAATAATAATTAAAAAAAAAAAGAAATTTGCCTGTCGGGCTTCCAATGAAAAAGGGTGATTAAATATTATTTAATATATGGACCCTATTTTTCAGACAGCAAGAATTGACTTTGTACATAATATGAATAAAAATAATATTTTTTTTATTCTCTCTTATTATTAGTCCTCACGAGATTGCATGGATAATTATTGTATATATAT